TAAATGTGCTCTTCATGTTGCACCAAGCAGCTTTGTGCCAGATCAGGTGTCAGCTGTCCTTTAGCAGCTGGTAGAAGTACACTGTACCATGGGCACTGCCTAATTGGATGGAAATACTATCTGGCCATTCTAGAAACAGATCAAATTAGTCCTGTGAATGGTCCAGGAGTGCACAAATCTGGAGATAACTGTGACTCTGAGCTTCCCTCATCCAAAATATAAGCTACCCACTGAAATTAGGTAATTGCTAACGAAGAATAATGACTAAGAGTTTGACTAAAACTTCTTTGCCCTCTGCTTTCTCGCCGTAGATGGGATGTGGTCATGTTGTTAATAACCCAGTCACAGGCAGGATGCTAATTCCTGTTCCTCTTCCAAAACCTAATTACTCCACACAAGTATCCTTTACAAAAACCAATCCATCAGCCCCTGCAGGCCCCTGGCAGCTGTTTGCTTTCCAGAAGCCCAATGTGACCTAGCATCAGCCCTTGATCTCCTTCCTCATCCTGGAGAGCAAAACCCTAGCTATTCTCTCTCTTTTAACCTCAGCTACAGTGAGCATGCCCAGCACATCACAGCTGCACTATAGAAACAGCTGTGATGGATACTTCATTAGTTTAGGAAGCTGGTGAATGGTAGTGACTGATTCTAATGCAGGTTTTTAGGTTTGTTTTTGAACAGCCAACTCTGCTTTACTTTATGGGCTTGAGCGCTTGATTGTGCCCATAACCCTGTGGCAGCAAGGAAACATGAAGGCCAAGCTAAGGGCACCTTTCTGTTCTCCTTGCTCACTAGTAATTGAGGACGCATTAAGTGTTGGTAGCTGCGTGGCTGGTAACTGCCCTTGCTTTCAATGCCCCAACCCTTGCAAGTCAGAGAACAGAGCAATGGGAAAGAGATGGTATTGAGCAGCAGAGCCTGCTCTTCAGGCCTTTGCAGTTTGTCCCGTACTGTGCAGGATTGTTACTAGTTCACATCGAAGGCTAACAGTGACCTTTCTGTGCAGCAGGCTCTGTATAGCACTGATGTAGAGTCCCCTGGGTTCTCTGAGTCTGCACAGTTAAGCCAGCTAGCCAAGAGGTTACATAGTTCCAGAGAAAAAGGGGTATTTGTTATCCATCAATGTTTGGGTTAAATGTTTCTTAATGCCCAACCAGGCTCCAAACTGATGTTGGCTTGTAATGAATCTCCTCTTGGCATCCATGTGCTTCCACTTAACTGCATTCAGTAATCAGTGAGGTCTGAACTGCAACTGGGAACCTTTGCCTAGAAAATTACCTCCGGAAAGGATACTCAGGCCTTGAAAACACCTCTTGAAGAAACAAGATGCAAAGGAATCCCAGATAAGACTTGCTATTGTTCATGTCTTATGTATATGATCTGTCAGCACGTTAGCTGAAGTATGTCCAGGTTGGTTGTAACGCAGAGTTCAAGCCAGGGTCCTAAAGGAGGTGGCAAGCACTTCAAACCTTGAACAGCCACTGTGCTCCTGCTGTTCTTGACTGCTCAGCTGAAAGGGGTTGGTTTCTTCCTTGTAGGTGGCTAGTTGTAACAAATGCTAGAAGGAAGCTTGCTATCTGTAGCAATGGACCTGTGAGCTTGGCAGGAGGTCCATTCCTCGTAGTAAAGCACTGTCTGCATTGGCTGTCCTCTGGCTGGGTCTCCTGGATCTCTCTGGTTCTGGTCTGATACTACTTTGACCAAGTTTTACTACTGGCTCACAGGCTTTTAACGCCATGTAGAGCAGCTGAAATGTGTTCCGGGCCTCATGCTGCATTTGCAGACATTTCCTAATTATATATGGTTGTATTTGGTTAAATGTTGTTTTTAAAATGGTTTTCCTGTTCTGCTGAATATGGTAAAAGAGAATAATACACCTATCTGAGTCTGGTGTAAGGGTAGTGTTGGGCAGGATTGCCTTCTTCCAACCTTTGAATTCATGTTGCGGTTAAAGAAATAATAGAACAGATTACCATTGTGCTTTTTCATAGCAACCTCATGGTCATGTTCCTCTAATCCAAAATCTACCTCAAAGAACAGCAGATGTCAACCCCAGTCTCTTTCTATTCTGTTATTGCTCATGAGGGAAATTAGTCCAAATCTTTCTTGCCACTCGGGTTTAATGGGTAGATGATGCCTAGTCTGGGAAGAGCTTCTTGTATGTGATCCCACCCAGAGCACTGGCAGTGTCAGTTAAAAGGTAGTTTGCTTACTGTGGATGTGCTCTGAAATAAGAGGTAACTTGACAAACACACAACTTTGTTTACCACTGTTGTTTTCTTCCTGCATGTTGACTGGCACCACCTTGACAAAAACTGGTTGTCACAATCGAAGTGGAGGCTCACCAGAAATGTTATCCAAAAAGAATTTCAACCAAAAATGCTAGATTTTCGCTTAAGAATGCCTCCCATTCCCATTTGAGTTTTCCATCTTAGCTGAAAATTAAACGGTTACTTGAAGGGATCGGTTTTGTTGCCCAAGGGGTTATCAAGCTGGAGAAGAAACATTGAACCTACCTTTGACCTTCCTGCTTTACCTTCTGACGGGGAGGGTGGGTGACACCTAAAATGTGGGTGTGCTCGGTGGGTGTGGGTATTTCTTGATACCTCTGTTCTATTTCTGACAAGTGCTGCCACACTGATAGGACAGACTGCCTAGATATGGCTTGGTAATTACTTACCGGCCAAATTCTGCAGTGAAAGGCAGAGGAATAATGAGAAAATATTGTTGCTGCTTTTCCTTCTCATGAACAGTGTAGAATTAGCATGTGGGACCCAAATGCTATGATACTGGGTAGATTTTGAAGCATCTATAGCCTTTTGCACTTACAACAGTGTTTACTTGACGGAAGAGATAGATAGGCAGAAAGGAAACCAGTTTCCTGCGTTTAACAGCAAAAAAGAAGAAAGGATTTGATGGGGTAGAAGCAGCAGGCACCATTCCACTAAATGTCTGTCGGGGATGTAGACCATATGGTGCATGTTAGCAAAGATGATCTGTAACAGGATTTCAGGGTAACCAGAACTGGGCAGTGGCTTGTGTGAGTCTGTCAGGGCCCCCAGATTCTCAGCAAAACCCGTGTGTCCTACATAAATTAGAAGAGATGCACCTCATAATCTGCAAAATATCTACCTACATTTATTTCAGAATTCATTCGTTTATTACAGTTCTCTTTGTGGAAGGCTGAGTGTTGAAGAAGCCCATATATTAAAGCTCTTGTGCTTTAGGTTTCCTCTCATGCTGTGCATAATGAGCGATGTTGTAGCACGCTCTGACAGCAGCATTTACACTGCAGTGGCCTAGTTGCAGGTTATTGTGGTCCATCTTTTCATCACTGTTCAATTCAGACGTGGTCACAGAAATCGGTCATTAACATCTTCAGCCTGAAAGGAGCACTACTGTTCATATATCCTGGTGCCTTAAATGCCATTCAAATTCCTGCAGTTTCTCTGAGCCTCTGCTAATGTGAGGTACTAAGAGCCCTTCAGCACTGATGCATGATAAGTTGGGGAAGTGTGGGAAGGACAAGTATGCCTGTGCAGGGAACAGTGTCCCTGACTGCAGGGAACTGAAGAAAAAGGGCCTGCAGCAACTTGAATTCCATTCTTGAAACAAGAAATTAGAATAATGTACTGCAAGTGCCTCTGACCTTCGTTCTGTTTCATTTAAGGAATAATTGTACTGACCATTATGGCTTTTTCTTCTATGTAGAGTTCTCTCAGTTTTTCCTGCTGTGTCTTAGCCATCAGTTCCTCCCTGCTCTGTGCCTTTTGGGTAGCAATTTGGTTAATTTTCATTGCCTAGGTTCAGTTTTCAGACCTGAAACCTTGGCAAACAAGGTCATTCTGCCCCAGAAACAGTGTGCTCTGCTTTATATTTTATCTTTCATTTTAGTTTTTATTCTAACCATCTCAGAATACTGGAAAGGGAGGAGTGGCAGAAACTGCTCATCGATCCCTTGGGAGGTACAGTGGCAGCTGGAAGCGTTCTTAAATACTAAACTAGAAAGACTGATAGAGCTGAAATCTGTGCAAGACAGTTAACCTGTGCAGCGCGACTCCTCTGAAGAGGGTTTGTTGAAGAACTAGCACATTAAAAGTGCCTGGAAAGGAGCCAGGATGTGTCTGTGCCAGCAATCCCAGAGGCTGTAGATAGAGAAGCTGAAGCAGAAGCATGAGCCAGGTGGACATAGGTGTTGAAAGGAGAATGCATTGATGACATGGGTATGCAGATTGCATGAGGTGACTGGCACTTCTCTCTGGTGCTCAGAGGAGAGGCATCAGGGCAGTGCAGCACTGCCGGAGGCTTTGCTTCTTTGTTGTTTTTCTTGCTCTTCTTTTAAACTTGAAAACTCCCAGGGAAGTGTCAGGGAAACCATCCAACCAAGGCAAAAGCAAAGCTTGGGCTCAAAATCTGCACTTACTTTGGTGCCCCAGAATCCAGTGCAAAGCGGAAGCATGGATAGCATGGATTTAATTGTATCAGGAGATGGCCATGATGGGGAGTGTCTTGTGTTTTCTTCGTACTGATGTGTATGGCCTGTGCAGTGAGAGGAAGGGATCTGTGGCAGAGAACGTGGCTGCTGTGACCATGAGGGTGGCTCACGGGCTGGCTGGAGGTCGTCCTCCATCCGGGAGAGGTAGCACTTGCTTCCTGGGTCTTTTTCCTTTAATGCAGTTCGGTTCTGGGCAGGATTTTCCTCCCAGATCCATGAAGCTTTGCAACTCTGATGGCCGCACAGTGTGCTGAGGGGAGGAAGAGCTGCAGTAAGGAACAAAGTCCTGATTGATTGGGTTTTGCAGACAGTGTAGGCCAAGAGGTGCTGGGATGGTGCAGGAGGAAGGAAGAGGCAAGCACGGTCAGTTGGTTATTATTTCCTGACTGGTAATTGTAGAAGACAGTATTATGGGTTGCCCGTGGTCAGCTGGAGCAGACCTTGTGTGCTGTTTGTTTTCAGTAATAGAGCATTTTTGAAGTCTGAGGACTGGGGCTTCTTGCCATCAAAGCTTTTCCAGATAAGACCCTGGCACAAAGCCTCGCTGCCCATTCCGTTCTGCTGTCCACCAGCCATCCTCATTTTCTTCAATGACAACTACAATGTCTCCTTCACTGATGTCCAGCTCATCCGTGTTCTGAAAGGGGACCAAAAAAGGCAGTGTGGTTAGCCTGAGAGCACAGGAGGGACCAAGCATGAATCTGGTCATTTGGGGTTGGGTTTTTTTACCCTGCCTTTCATCAGAAGTCTGCCAGTGCCCTCCTGGTTGGAAAAGAGCCTGAAGAACCAGGCAGTGAGGGGATTAAGCACTTACTAAGGTAGCTGTTTCCTCACTATCCTCAAATTTCCCCAACCTCCATGGTGTGTCCTCCTGAGCAACTTGACTGTTGTACCACTGGGGAAGGCTGGAAGGGGTTAAATACGACTGTCCTAAACCAGCTAACCATGACCTTTCTGTAGTCTGCAGGTGTTGCTAAATAAAACAGTGCACAGCTTAATTCCCAAGGGAGATGATAACAGTGTCTCTACTAATCCAGGCCTTAAGTAGGTCTCTCGGTTCTTTTAATACAGAACAGCAGTGACCAGAGGAGGTCCAGCAGCTTTTCCTGAGATAGGTAACTTTGATCTCCAAGACCAACAGAGAAAGCTGTCGTTGAGCTCTCTGGCAGCTGTCAGTCCCTTCAGTGGGGCTGTCCTATTTTCCATAGGAAACCACTTTGCTACCTGCAGTGTAGTAAAATAGAAAACAGAGTAAGAGAGGCTTCCAGATACATTTGACACATCAGCGAAATCTAAATTTAATGTATCTGAGTAGGTAAGGACGGGCTCAAAAAGTGAGAGGCCTCCATATACAGTATACTAAAAGTAGTAACAGGCACTTTTCTCAGCAGGGAAAATCTGTGTGTGTCATATTTTTAAGGCAACTCCTGGAGTAAGGATCTGACAGAGAGATGCAGCAGTCTCCTCAGGGGAGGTACTTTCAGCCTTGCTTGCATGACATTTCAGGCAAATAGTAAGAGAGTGTTTAAAACAAAGCAAAACAAAGAATATATCATAAAGGCATCAGAGTGCTGCTGTACCCAAGAGAATGTTCTCCTTTCCAGCCCTTTCACTGTTCTCATAATTCATCTAGCTGCCTATTTTGTCACATGCCAGCATTTCTTCAATGTTGGCTATTGATGGCAGGTCCCTTGGAGCAAGGGTCTCCCTGAAGACTTCCGGCTGCTGCTCCTTCTGCTGATCTAAAGCCAATAAAATGAACCTTTAAACTGACATGTAATTAAACTGTCAAAGTCCCATTAGGGGAGGCTAATGATTTAGTAAGAGTCCGAGAGGTTCTGGAGTCCATCTGAATAAGAAAATACTCATAACCAGTCCATTTATAACCTTTTACTGACAGTACTATGCCTAGATCGGTCTGGAGCCAGTGCGAGTTCAATATCCCCATTCAGGATGCAGGTTGCCCTTTTTAACAATCTTTTGGTACATGGAACACATCCACTGTGATTCTGCAAATTGC